ACCGCATTATTTACGGGCTGCAAATCAATGTAAATCAGTAGCAAGCCGTTCATGCGCATCAGCGCTCTCCAATGTGAACCATATGGCAGGATTCAAATGTGGAGGCTCAAAGGCAAACTATGGATAACTCACCTTGCAAAAGCTCATTACCACATTCTTTACAGGCTTTGAATTAGCATAAATCTGTAGGAAGCTGTTGATGCGCATCTGCGCTCTCCTATGTGAGCCATATAGCCGAATTCAAATTTGGAGGCCCAAAGACAAACTATGGATCACTCATCTTGCAGAAAGGCACCACCGCATTATTTACAGGCTTCGAATCAACATGAATCTGTAGAGAGCCGTTCATGCGCATCAGCGCTCTCCAGTGAGGGCCATAGAATCATAGAATCAAAGAGTTGGAAGAGACCTCCTGGGCCATCCAGTCCAACCCCATTCTGCCAAGAAGCAGGAATATTGCATTCAAATCACCCCTGACAGATGGCCATCCAGCCTCTGTTTAAAAGCTTCCAAAGAAGGAGCCTCCACCACACTCCGGGCAGAGAGTTCCACTGCTGAACGGCTCTCACAGTCAGGAAGTTCTTCCTCATGTTCAGATGGAATCTCCTCTCTTGTAGTTTGAAGCCATTGTTCCGCGTCCTAGTCTCCAAGGAAGCAGAAAACAAGCTTGCTTTCTCCTCCCTGTGGCTTCCTCTCACATATTTATACATGGCTATCATATCTCCTCTCATCCTTCTCTTCTTCAGGCTAAACATGCCCAGCTCCTTAAGCCGCTCCTCATAGGGCTTGTTCTCCAGACCCTTGACCATTTTGGACACCCCAAGCTCGGGATCAAATCGATGGTTTGTATCATCTCTAGCCATACTTCCAAACCAAGTTTTAGGATATCCTACATAACCATCCGTGCAGCAAAATCTGCTTTCCTCAATACTGGTTTGAAACTGAGCTAAGTGGTTAGTGCAGATGTGCCTTGAGTATCATTATATCAGCAAGTATTAATAATATAATACTTATATTATTATACCTGTTATATTTTGTTTATATTGATGATAATAATACATTAATATAATATTATATTATATTATATTATATTATATTATATTATATTATATTATAATAATGTATTATTATTATCAATATAAACAAAATATAACTGAAGGAGAAATACCATTCCTAAGAGGAATATGTGGGGTTAATCCAGTTGATAGTCTCGTCTCCAGAGACAAAGCTTAGGGAAGGAGATTCAGATAAATATAAGAGGAAAGATACAATCATTAATCTCTGCCTTGCCTCGCGGGGGCCCAAGTGGCGCAATGCAATAAAAATCATCCCAGATATCTACTTAGATTTGCTATCGTTTTTAATAACATGAAAAGTGATGACTGCAAAGCTGGGATTTATGTGCAGAAATGTGGCTGTACGCCTGTGAGGTCTATTGCAAATCTGGAGCAGAAAGGGGATGCATCGACACACCGTACAATTAATGCATTTTGATGCCCACTTTAATGCTATGGAATCCTGGGAATTGTAGTTTGGTGAAATACTCAAACTCTTTGGTAGAGATGGCTAAAGGCTTTATGAGGCTACAATTTCCATGATTCCATAACATTGAGCAGTCAAACTGGTTTTGAACTGGATTAATTCTAGATGCAGCCAAAGGTTAGACTAGATGGCCTTTGGGTTCCTCTCCCAATTCCTTCCATTGCATTTTGAGTCTTCTTTACTTAATGGATTTCAACTGGATTAAATTGACGAAGTAGATGCACCCAAAGGGTCAGACTAGATGGCCTTTGGGTTCCTCTCCCAATTCCTATCCTTCCATGACATTTTCAGCCTTCTTTTCTCAAATGGATTTCAAGTGGATTAATTATACAGTCTAGATGCACCCAAAGGGTCAGACTAGATGGCATTTGGGTTCCCAATTCCTTCTTTATCTAATGGAAAGGAATTTAAACTGGATTAATTCTACAGCCAAGGATCAGACTAGATGGCCTTTGGCTTCCTCTCCCAATTCCCATCTTTCAATCTCATTGTAAGCCTTCCTTATCTAATGGATTTCAACTGGATTAATTCTACCGTGTAGATGCACCCAAGGGTCAGACTAGATGTCCTTTGGGTTCCTTTCCCTATTCCTTCCATGGCATTTTCAGCCTTCTTTACCTAATGGATTTCAAGTTGAGATGCACCCAAAGGGTCAGACTAGATGGCCTTTGGGTTCCTCTCCCAATTCCTATCTTTCCATGCACCCAAAGGGTCAGACTATATGGCATTTGGGTTCCCAATTCCTTCTTCATCTAATGAAAAGAAATTTAAACTGGATTAATTCTATAGTGTAGATGCGGCCAAGGGTCAGACTAGCTGGCTTTTGGGTTCCTCTCCCAATTCCTATCATTTTCAACCTAATGGATTTCAACTGGATTAATTCAACAGTGTAGATGCACCCAAAGGGTCAGACTAGATAGCCTTTGGGTTCCTCTCCCAATTCCTTCCATGGCATTTTCAGCCTTCATTATCTAATGGGTTTCAACTGGATTAATTCTACAGTGTAAATGCACCCAAAGGGTCAGACTAGATGGCCTTTGGGTTCCTCTCCCAGTTATTTGTGGCATTTCTACCCTGCCTTTTTCTACCCCAGAGGGGACTCAATTCCCATGCTTGCATCACATTTTCAGCCTTCCTTATCTAATGGATTTCAACTGGATTAATTCAACAGTATAGACGGCTCCAAAGGGTCAGACTAGATAGCCTTTGGGTTCAATTCCCATCCTTTCATGGCACTTTCATCACTTTCATCATTGTCAAGATAGATAGATAGTTAGTTAGATAGATAGATAGATAGATAGATAGATAGATAGATAGATAGATAGATAGACAGATCAACTGGATTAATTCGACAGTGTAGATGCACCCAAGGGTCAGACTAGATGGCCTTTGGGTTCAATTCCCATCCTTCCATGGCATTTTCATCACTTCCCAAATGGAGATGAATTGGGTAAACAAGTCCCTTGTAGTTGTCAAGATAGATAGATAGATAGATAGATAGATAGATAGATAGATAGACGGATGGACAGATAGACAGATCAACTGGATTAATTCGACAGTGTAGACACACCCAAGAGTCAGACTAGATGGCCTTTGGGTTCAATTCCCAATTCCCATCCTTCCATGGCATTTTCATAACTTCCCAAATGGAGATGAATTTGGTAAACAAGTCCCTTGTATCAAGATAGATAGATAGATAGATAGATAGATAGATAGATAGATAGATAGATGGATGGGCGGGCGTACGGACGGGCGGGTGGGCGTACGGACGGGCGGGTGGGTGGGCGTACGGGCGGACTGACGGACAGACGGACAGACGGACGGATAGACAGACAGATCAATTGGATTAATTTGACAGTGTAGATGCACCCAAGGGTCAGACTATATGGCCTTCGGTGTCTAATACCCAATTCCCATCCTTACATGGCATTTTCATCACTTCCCAAATAGAGATGAATTTGGTAAACAAGTCCCTTGTAGCTGTCAAGATAGATAGATGGATGGATGGATGGACAAACAGATCAGTTGGATTAATTTGACAGTGTAGACACACCCAAGGGTCAGACTAGATGGCCTTTGGGTTCAATTCCCATCCTTCCATGGCATTTTCATAACTTCCCAAATGGATATGAATTTGGTAAACAAGTCCCTTGTAGTTGTCAAGATAAATAGATAGATAGCTAGATAGATAGATAGATAGATAGATCAACTGGATTAATTCGACAGTGTAGACACACCCAAGAGTCAGACTAGATGGCCTTTGGGTTCAATTCCCAATTCCCATCCTTCCATGGCATTTTCATAACTTCCCAAATGGAGATGAATTTGGTAAACAAGTCCCTTGTAGTTGCCAAGGCAGATAGATAGATAGATAGATAGATAGATAGATAGATAGATAGAGAGAGAGAGAGACAGATAGACCAACTGGATTAATTCGACAGTGTAGATGCACCCAAGGGTCAGGCTATATGGCCAATTCCCACCCTTCCATGGCATTTTCATCTCTTCTCAAATGGAGATGGATTTGGTAAACAAGTCCCTTGTAGTTGTCAAGATAGATGGATGGATGGATGGATGGATGGATGGATAGATAGATAGATAGATAGATAGATAGATAGATGCATGTATAGATGGATAGATGGATGGATGGATGGATGGATGGATAGATAGATAGATAGATAGATAGATAGATAGATAGATAGATAGATAGATAGATAGATGATAGATAGATCAATTGGATTAATTTGACAGTGTAGACGCACCCAAGGGTCAGACTAGATGGCCTTTGGGTTCAATTCCCATCCTTCCATGGCATTTTCATCACTTCCCAAATGGAGATGAATTTGGTAAACAAATCCCTTGTAGTTGTCAATATAGATATAGATACATATCCCCTTGGTACATTTTGGCATTAACTCGAGCTGCGGCTATTAAGTTGTATTGCCCAATTAATTAATTTCAAAGAAAGGCTCTGGTTGCCCTAGGTTACAAAGGCATCCAAGTTGCTCGGTTACCGAGATGCCCTAGTTGCCCCGGTTACAAAAGATGTCCGAGTTGCCTCGGTTACCACCAGACCAGGTGAAAGAAGATGCTCAGTGGGTACCAAAGGATGCAGAAAAGGGCTGCGGGGATGGGATGCCACTATTCAACACCACGACAAGTCCACTTTCGGGTGGCCTATGGAGACCCAAAACGAGTCCCTTCAGGGGACCGGGGAGAAAAGTTCATGCCGAAGGAGTTGCCCAGGTGACCGAGCCTTCTCCAAATTGCCTTCTCCATCCATCCATCCATCCTCAACGTCAGGTTGCCCCTGGCAACAGCATCCCTGGAGGGGAGAGCGGAGATTGGGTACCAGCCCCAGGCTCCCTCGGCCCCTCCCTGCCCCTCCCTTTGCCACGGCAGCCAATCGGAGAGCCCCCTCGCCTGCCCGTCAGGCCTTCTCGTCCAATGAGGGGCCTCCGGAGGCGGGTCTCCATCCTCAGCCAGATCTTGGGAAGGAGCAAAGTGGCAGCAGATCCCAAAGCGAAGGAGGAGGAGATCCAACAGGTAAATAACAAAGACTTTTCGGAGGTTGTTGTTATTTGGGGCTCGAGAAGCATCCTTTAGGAACTCCTATAGAAAAAGTAAACAGCAGGAATGTTTTGATTTTGGGGGAAGCATGGTTGTTGTTGTTKAAATCTCATATTGCACTAAAGCAGACATGGGCAAATTTGGGCCCTCCAGGTGCTTTGGATTGCAACTCCCATCATTCCTAACAGCCTCAGGCCCCTTCCTTTTGCCCCTCAGCCGCTTAAGCCTGAGGCTGTTAGGAATGATGGGAGTTGCAATCCAAAGCACCTGGAAAAGCCCAAATTTGCCCATACCTGCTTTCTCAGGTRCGTCACAGCGTAGAGAAATTTCTCCTCTCCTTTTCCAGCAACCTGTTGTTTACTTGTTTACTTTGTTTTGCATTTGTTTTGTTTTTGCTTTTGTCAAGTCTGGAAAGTTCGGCCCATTCCTTCCAGGTAGAAATTTGCAAAGTAGGTGTGTTTGTGAGACTAGGAAGGAGCTGCGCAGGAAACCTGAAAGCACCCCAAAGCTTGCTATTCAAACTGCGATGTTTACAAAACTTGAACATCATAATAATACTAGAATGTGCAATGAATAGACTCGGCAGTAATAGAGTGTTCAATGTATTTATCTGTGCAATTAAGAGGCGGAGAAGTTTCTCGTCGACGCTAATGTGGTCTTTTATTTTTCTGCATCTGCAAACTTTCTAACTTCAGGGATGCGTGCTAGCACTCCCTGCAAAGAGGACAAAAGGAAGGACAAAAGGGAGGAAAGGAAGGATGGAATGAGAAAGAGTCAGAGAGGGAAAGAGGGAGGAAAAAGTTAAGGAAAGAAAGACAAAAAGGAAGGAAGGGAGGGAAGGTGGAAGGAAAGAAAGAAGGAAGGACAAAAGGGAGGAAAGGAAGGATGGAATGAGAAAGAGGGAGAGGGAAAGAGGGAAGAAAGAGATAAGGAAAGAAAGACAAAAGGAAGGAAGGGAAGGAGGGAGGGAGGGAGGGG